CTGCTGGCCTGACCTTCGCCAGTCACCAAAGGCAAGGTGTTCAGCCGGTGCGAGCTGGCTCGTGTGCTCCAGGAAGAGGGGTTGGATGGCTACAGGGGATACAGCATTGCCAACTGTGAGTTTCAGTCCTCTGTTTTCCCACAGCCTTTCCTTCCCAGCTGCTGCCATCCCCATAGCTGGCAGCCGTGGTGCAGCCTGAGTGCCCTCTGCCCCTGCCCAGGGCTGTGCATGGCCTTTTGCGAGAGCAGCTTCAACACCGCAGCGCAGAGCGTCAAAGCGGATGGCAGCACTAACTACAGCATCTTCCAGATCAACAGCCAGCTGTGGTGTACCGACGAATGCAGCCCCTCGGATAACCAGTGACAGATGTCTTGCGGGGAGTACCGTGTCACTGCTCCTCCAGAGCCAGCCCCAGGAGCAGAGGCAGCACCCTGAGCCCTCCCGCCCTGCCCAGCTTCACCCCATGGCCAAAATGGAGCTGTGGGGACATGTGGGCACAGCTGGGGGAACAAGATGCCCATGGCTGCAGGAAACTGGGATGATGAACAGCCATGTCCAGCTCCCCTTTTGCTCTGTGCAGGGTGTGGGGAGCCCCACTGCAGCTGGGGGAGTGAGAATCCATGGCCATTGCTGGAGATGTTTCTCCCAGGCACTGCACCATCACTGCCCCCAAACTTTCTCCAGGGTTTCACCTTGCACCTCTAGGCCACCTGCCTTCCCTTGCCCCATATACATCCTTTCTTCTCCTGGGATACTAGGGACTTCAGGGCGCTTTGGGTGTTGTGACTGTGGGTGGAAGACAGGCTGTCCTGACTTGGGGGTTGTGATGCAGGGCTAGATGAGATAAATGCATCCCCCTGATTGTGGAGTGAGTAGCTGCAAAACTGATCACCCAAGGCTGTATTAATGTCAGGCAGATCCAGGTCTTTCTTGGCTTGGGGTCTGCCACCAGTGGGGAGCTCCCAGGAAGGGTTTTGCTGTGTCTGACCAGCAGACGTCCTGCTGTATGAGAAAATACAAGGTCTAGGAGTGTGAGGCTGGACCTTCCACTCCTGTCCAGACCAAAACCTCCTTTTCTAGATAGGTCAAAAACCTCCCTAATAGCTTTTTTTCCCAGCAGAGCAAGCAGGAAGGGATTGAAATATCATAGCATATATGGTGCTGCCTCCCATTTTCCCCCCTCTTTCCAGCTTTCTCTCACATGTGATTACAGAGGCAGGCACACCAGCGTTTGCAGGGGAAAACATACCTTTATGGTTGTTTCTGGCAGATGAGGGTGCCTGCCTGGCAGTGTTAGAACACATGAGGCTGACTGGGGCAGTGGGGAGGATGAGCAGTGTCAAATCCCAGAGCTGCTTGTGTGCCCGGCCCTTGCTCTGCCCCATGGGGAAATCTGCTCCGGGCTAGTGTCCTGCCCTCGAGTGAGCTCACAGAGCCACGCTTCTCTCTGCGGATCTGCTATCGAGTAACATCAGTGATGACACAATCTGTGCCAAAAGAATTGTGAGACACCCACAGGGAATGGATGCCTGGTAAGGGGCTTGGGGGATGGCTTCTTTGTCAGGGCTCGTCTGTGTTTCTGAAGAGGCACGGCTGTCCTTTGCCTGACTGTCGCACCAAGGCAGCACAGCTGCAGCAAATAGGAACCACAGCTTCAAGGCTTTGCAGATGGGTGGGAATGGAAAGACAAACTTGCACCACCTCAGTGTCTGCAAAGCATCTCACAGGAGAGACTAGAGAGGAAGGAGCAGAGAAAAACTGTTCCAGAAAAAAAATCTCAGCTGAAAAATAGATGGTCAGTAAATAGCCCATCTAGTAGGTTAGCCCTTGAAGATTTCTGCCTTCTGTTTTCAAAGTCCTTCAAAAAGATATTTCCCCACTTTTTGCTGTCTCTTATCTTATCTGGAAGCACCTAGTATGGAAGCAATTCTTCCCAGAGTGTTTGAAAGCATTAGTAACTGAAATACCCTGATGAATCTAGATGGCAGCCCTTGCTTGGGCAGCCCTGAGCCACCCATGGGATGCTGGGCTGCTATAACACCGGAAGCCTGTAAAGGCAGAGTAACCACCAGGCTGAGAAAACAGAAGTGGGGGTAGAAGACAATTCCAACGATCATATAAATGTGTGGTTGTCTGAAGTCCCAAGGCATTTTGTGCAAAAATAGTGGTGTTAACCACTGAATCCTGAATATGTTCCAAGTTGAGGGACAAGATTCTGCCTTCAGATTCCCCCACCTCCTCCCCACCGTTGCAGTCGGACTCATTAGCCAGCTTTGCTTCCTGTGGCAGGCTGCTGTGAAGCCTGGCTCACCACAAAAGCAGAAACATTTCTGAGTAGAGGTGAGGTAAGTAATTTGTGTAGCAAACAGAACGAATGGGCCCAGGGTTCCTGTGGTGAGTATTGCCTTTGCATGGTTCATTGTGCACTCAACGCTCTGTGCTGAGCTGCCACATCCCAGCAAAGGAGGGACCCTTGCATGGCAGGAGGTGGCATGATCTCCATTTGCAATTCGTTGTTCCTTGCCAGGACCTAGTGAGAGCTCAGGTGGTGTCAGGCGACGGCGATGGCCGCACTCGTTGATGCATGATGTTCAGAGTTGCAGGGTCTGCAAGTCCTTCTCCAGGGCTAGTGACGGGATGTCACTCACTGGGAAGGACTCTGCAGAAAACAGACACTGCTCATAGCTCATATTGGATATGAATGGTATCAGCCTGGCACCTACATAGTGTTTCTTTGCTGCTTCTGTCCTCAGGGAGGGCTGGGCAATGCACTGCAAGGGATGAGCCCTGTCTGAGTGGGTGGAAGGATGTGAGCTGTGAGAAAGTCCCCAGCTCAGCGCCACTGTGGCTGATGGGGGTGGCCTCTCATCTCAGAGAGCTCCCCCCTGGCTAAACAACACTTTCAGTATTTGCAAACTCAGTGTATTCCACAAGATATAAAATCACTTTAACAATATAGCTTTTTTTTTTTAAATAATAAACTTGACTTTCCATTTTCACATGTGATTTAGGGTCCAGACCCAAAAGATTTTCCCCAGAGTTTTTGTGCATGTTTGGATGAAACTGCAACTGGAAAGCAAATGAGGCAGAGGGCGACACAGCTAATTTCTCCAGAGTTTTCAAAGAAAGTGGAAAAGGGAAGATGTCAAAAGAGGGTACAAACCTACAAGATTTGTAATAAAAATGCACAAAAACACAGCCCAAGATCTTACTAGGTAAAACTTGTATCCGCTGACCAGTATAAGCTATCGCTGAGAAAAGCCAAAGTGCTGCACAGCCCTTTCATGGCTGCTGGGGCCACAGAGGTGACCAAGCTCTCCTGCCCGTGGTGCTGTTTGTGCCGTAACTGGCCAGTCCTGCAGCTGGGTTCCTGCCGCAGTCCCCAGCTCCGCACAGAGGAAAAGCTGCGGTGCATTGGAAGATGGGAGATGTCTGGAGTGGGAATGGCTGTGACTCGCAGTTGGGAGGATTTGAGGCAGAGACAGAGAGGGTTAAAGAGAAATGGTGGTGGTGGTGGTGGCGGCTGTCACCGCAGATGAGCATTGGCTCTGTCTGTTGTTTTCTTTGAACGCTTGGGAAAGTACAAAAATACAATGGAGTATTTTTGTATTATTTTGTGGTGGCTGTTCTTGTGCTCAAAAGGACTTCGAGTGCCTGCGCAGAGCAGGGACG